CTGCTTCAAGGTCAGCTCTCAGCAGTAACAGGTCCCAGAGGGAAACCCAGACATCCCTATCCAGTTCCTCCTGGGAAACCCCAGGGCATTCCTAGGTCACAAAGGATAAATAATCCCTCCAGTAAATTCAAGCTCTGCCCTGGGATTTCCTCCTAATCTCATGACCATAGATGATGATCATAACAAATAACCAGTAAATTGAGAGCTTCACCTCCACAACCGACCAGATTAACATCCTCGTTACTACAATCAGAGCTGAGATCCTTCAGTCCATTGCTCTCTCCATCCCACCATCACTTGTGATCAGACTTCCCTTCTTGAGCCAGAGTCATATTCCCAACCTGGATGGGGCCTCCCAGTTTGGATGGAGAATGCTCATTATAGTTGCTTCGCACTTGGCTGCAGATATTAGTAGACAATGCAGGTCAACAGCGCTACATCATCTGCAAAAAGCAGAGATGAGACACTGTGGTTCTCTTGTCAGGACCTCTCTACTCAACTACACATTCATACTCTGTCCATGAGCACCAGAGATGGGATTAGAGGCAAGGAGAAAGAACTGATGCCTGTAACTCGGTTTCAGCTCTTACTTTGGCTGTAGAGACTAAATAACACTTAAAACACAAAAAGGTTAAAATTTGGTATTCAGGGGAGAAGGGACGGAGGGATTTTTAAACTGTTGGATGATTTTCAAAGCATGCTAGACCACACATAAAAAATAAATCTCAAATTACCAGCTGCAGTGCCAGAGTGTGGAATGTGTGGCGACACAGCAAAAAAATTACCCACTACATACAAGCCAGTTTCACATACAAACGATTCCCGGTCGCACGGAGAATCTCGTGAGAATTTGCGTTGCTTCATTGTAAACAAACATGGTGGAAGAGGAGGAGTGTGCAGTCACTTCGCTTTATGGTAGAATACTTGTTTGTCCTGGAAAATCTGACCAAGACAGTCTAAAACTTTTGAAAGCCCCTATCCAAGACATTCCGACGTCCTTCCGAGCAGACCAGAGCATTTTTAATACACCACACATGCTAGGAACATCTGATGAGATTGTCTTTAGAGTTGTCAGAGTAATCAGGCACATCCTTAAGCATGTCAGAAGGGCAGGATTGGGTCAGAAATTAGTGTGATTCCCCCGCTGAAGTGTAGAAACCCTTTGGAGGTACATGTCTTCAAACGATGACAAACATAGAGGTCCTGTTGTTTATTTGAAAAAAAATTTAACAACCTAAAGATTTTCTGTTTTTTTTTTGTAAGTTAACAATCCCTTCATTGGCAATGGAAGTATATTGTGAGCTTAAAGTTGATTAATTAACATGTCTCAAAAAACAAATCAAAGTATAAAAAATACCAGGATGTAATCTGAATTTTAAGGATTATTTCCACCGCCTGGCCCTCATCCACCCAATCCCTACCACCTTTGTTTCCTCCGCTGCAGCGTCCGACTTGTCACATTTCACAGGGCGGTCAATAAGGGGGCGGGGCAGGTGGAGGTCTCCAGGTCACATGGTTGTTTTTTTTAATGGGGCTCAGCAGATGGCTTCCCTCAGCCTCTGCATTGTTATTATGGCCACCTTTTTCTGGAGGTCAGTGTTAACAATTGCTGCTAATAGCTGCAGGAAACAAAAGCCTTTTCTTTGTCTGAATGAGTTTCCTTAGTAACCGAAAGCTGAAAAACAAGCAATGTTGTCAAATTTACTGCTGTTACAAGATGTGAATACAACTGATTGTCAGCTCCTGCAGGTTGGAGAAGTTTGAGAACGCTGGAGCGCTGAAAGTCAGACTTGTGCAAGAATACCAAATTACCTTTAAAGGAACTTAAACCGTTACTGAGAGGCCTTTTTATTTTGTCTAGGGGGCTCTAAAATTGAAGTGGGAGATCTTTAAAATGTGTGCAACAGTAGATTTGTGTTATTCTTTGCAGCGTCCACTTTCCTCCTGAGTTTTGACAGGTCCTTTTTCTCCACCCATATCACTCTTTTCTGGAAATCTCATCTTCCCTCCCTCCCAGAAACGCTCCATCGGTCCAACTCAGAAAAAATACAGAAATCAGTTAAAAGTCTTATATTTTAAGCAAAGTTACCTCTTTCCAGTTTCTTTAGTTTGCTTTTTACTAAAACCTTCCAATCAGTAAAGGAAGGAAAAAAAAACTTTACTTGATGTTTCTCCTCAACCACGTGCCTCCTACTTGGCTCACAGCTGAGAATGATTTGGGGCTACAGGCCAGAGCAGCGTTGATGCAAACCTTCCTCCTCCATTTTTTTCTCCCCATGGGTGCTGGGCCTCGGAGAATGTGGGGAGGGGTGACGAGAAAAGGCCGAGCAGTGAGATAAACTAAAATATTTTTACCGTTGGGCAAAAACCCTTCAATTCCGACTTTCATCATTTGAATGTTTTTACAAAAATCAGCGTTCACATCTACCAGCGGCTTTAAGAGTGATCTTTTGACGAAAAGTGTCAAAAGGAGCACATTTCTCATTTTTGGAAAGTAATGCTTGGGGATGCAAGATCTTACTGGAGATATTTGACAGAGAAGTGGACGACTTTTCCTGCAATGTATCTCCTAGGACATCTGGAAAAAGTCCCACACACAAAGTCCATTTGCCAGAGAGGCACATGGACTCAGCGTATTTACACATGGATGGGTTTCATATGAGCTTTTTGTTTGAGTACAGAAAAAGTCCAAGTATAGATTTATTGTAAGAAACGTATAAATATACTAGAATTTTATTATCTAACCACTACACTTAGTTTCTAAGAGGGCAAAGCCATTTTTTGTTGATTTGTTTCAAACATTTAAAAGGATAAAAATAAAAAAACATTTTACAGTAAGCATTGTTTGAAAAGGAGGTAGACTGAAGCCCACACTTTTAAGGTCCTACACTTTTACATATTTTCATCTTTCAAAGATTCAAAATAAAAGGCAAAACTAAAAATTAGGGAGGTGAATCTTAGAGAAACCCACAATTTGATTTGATTTGATTCTTGGGGTGCCGATTTGACTCAGAATCGATTCTCGATTCTCAATTTTAATCGATTCACAATCAGTATTAACAATGCGTGTCAGCTCCAGGATGAACTACTTTGTTGTACAAGTTAGTTAAAGCTATGAGACATTTTGATTTGACTTCAAACCGGTCATGCTCCAAAAATGCTAATTTACAATGTAAACTAAAGTGATTCTAAAACTGTAAACAGAAACAATCTTTTGACCAAAAGGCAACATTTATTTTTGCTTATCTTGTAAAACAAATCTGTAGTTACCTAACAGTAGCTTTGAAAGTAATACGATCAAATACTTTTCAAGTATGTGTGGAAACAAGTTACATGAGTAATCCTGAGTACTCATTTATCAACTTAGAAAATAAATATGAGAATATCTCAAATTTCTGAGTATGGAAAAAATTACATTCAAGTGCCGTCTTATCAGCAGATTCAAACATAAATCATCTCAGTTTATGGGACCACAAAAGTAAACGGAGTACTGACTCTCCTAACAAAGATTTTAAAAAGTGCATCTCAAACCTGTAACATGCCAAATATTTGAGTTCTCGGAATCGATTCTGAACCTTTGTGAATCGATTCTGAATCTTTATAAATAAGAATCCCGATTCAGACTTGAATCGATTTTTTTCAGCACCTCTACTAAAAATGTATCAATCCATTGTTTTTACCTAACTTACAGAGTTTTATTCCACTTTAAACCAAATAGCCTTCTCCGTGGCCTAGTGGGACAGTGTCTACCCTCGGACCCAGTCGGGTCATACCAAAGACTTAAAAAGGGACCCAATGCCTCCCTGCTTGACACTCAGCTTTAAGAGGTTGGACTGGGGGGGGTGGGGGTGGGGGGGGTGGGGGGGTGGGACCACCAAATAGTTCCCGAGCGCAGCCATTGCTGCAGCTCACCACTCCCGATGGGAATGGATAAAATGCGGAGGTGAACATCCCCAATGTGATAATGGTAAATGGCCTGTATTGATATAGCACCTTCTTGAGTCAACCCCCCCCCCCCCCCCCCCCTAAGGTGCTTTACAACACAGTCATTCACCCATTCACACACACATTCACACTGGTGCGGATGAGCTACGATGTAGCGACAGCTGCCCTGGGGCGCACTAACGGAGGTGAGGCTGCCAAGCACAGGCGCCACTGGTCCCTTCGACCACCACCAATACACAAGGGGGGTTAAGTGTCTTGCCCAAGGACACAACGACAGAGACAAACTGAGTGGGGCTCGAACCTGCAACCTTCTGATTATGGGGTGAGGACTTGACTCCTGTGCCACCATCACCCCATATGGGACTTAAAAAGCAACACAAGAAAGTCAACAGAACAGTAGTCGAACAAATTCAAAGGCTCTAATCTCCATGTTTTCTACTTCTAACATTTTTCAGGTTTTTTTTTTGTGCTCTTTATTTATGTAAACATTAGAGATTAGTTAATTGAATTGGCTTCTTTTTTTAATATTTTCTTTTTTTACTTAGTTTGATCTAATCACCATTGCATATTTTCACACCTGTTATTTTTGCTCCACCAGTAGTTTGTTCCAGCAGTCAGAGAAATAACTGAAATCATCTGTAAAGAATCCATCTGATCATTAAATTTATTTTCATGCATTCTGGGTCTTTGATTTCTTGGTATCGTTCCCATAATCTAGCATTGATTTTTATTATTGGTTACATTAATGCATCATTGACTATGAAAAGTTGATTTGCAGTGCAGCCCACATGAAGCTGTGACAAGAAAAGTGTTCATATCAGTGATAGGACTACCGTCAGTAGCCATAAATACCAATACAAAATGGATCTGACAAGTGAAAAATAATGTTTTGGTCCAACTTTGCCATGACGACAACTTCTTGTTTTCAGCTTTGTGAATATCCTAGATTTCCACTCTTAATGGCATTTTTTCCGTGTGTGTGTGTGTGTGTGTGTGTGTGTGTGTGTGTGTGTGTGTATGTGTGTATGTGTATGTGTGTATGTGTATGTGTGCAGGATGCCAGCTGCTAGCACCATGACCGGTGGGAGGGCCCTGCTGCTCTGTACAAACACTGACAACTGTATGAACCAATCAGCAAATGTGTAGGTATCCGGGAACCTCAGAGATGAGTTTAACTTTTGAATGATTAACATTGCCACAGACTGGAGTAGTTAAACAATATCTCACAGTATGCCTCTCCAATAATGCGGATTAAAAGCTGACCTTGTGTCATCTTACAGACACCGTTGTGCTTCTTTCTCAGTGGTTTAAACATGTAACATGGTCATCACTGATCAATTGGATTTCTGTAGAACACAAATCATTCCTTTTCAGCCTTATGTTGCCCTTTATCACAACATTTTTATTTCTCAAACCTCTCTGCCTTTCTTTAGTCATCCCGTTTCACCTAGTTTCTCCCCTCTGAGCTTAAACTGCTGTAGGTTGAACAGAAACACAGCGGCATTAGTGCCGCATAAAAAAGGAAAATTAAAACAGGTTTCCTTTTACATCCATCCTAACCCAGGAAACAAACCTTTGATCAACTCCTCAGATTTCTTCTCGCTAAGAGTTTTTTCATCCAGAGCTGTCAACAGAATGGACAAGTGAGGCTGCATTTCCTTCTTTTGTTGGTGGAGAGCTTTGGATTAGTTCTGAGCCAAAGCGGGTCAGAAGAACAAATAGAAAGATGCACATTTACACTTCAGCCTCTCCCTTTTGTGTGAACTCCATCCCCTCTCTAAAGAGCTTTGTGTGTAGCTCATAAACTTTGACTTACAAACCAGGAGTTCAAACAGTCACGACCCAGTAATCCTCTCAAAGCGACTCACTGCAGAAACAAAGGCAAAGCAAATGTTTTAAATCTTCATCTAATATTTAAATTTGTTCTGATTTATTGGTAGAATGATGCATTACTGCTTACTTTAGATCTGGGATGGGCAATCCTTGTCCTCGATGGCTGTTATCCAGCAGGTTTTAGTTGTTTCTCTGCTTAAAGTGACGGAATGGGTCAGTACTAAGCAGAATATTAAAAAAGTTAAGATCCTGCCAACAACGCCAAAGGTGGCGGAGCGCATGGTTGGGTACCTTCTTTATGAAGCTTGTCCCTTTGACCTTCACACACACACACACACACACACACACACACACACACACACACACACACACACACACACAAATAAAATGAGATACCTCTAGGCACACGTAGGTTCATGCTCCAAAGAGGCGGCAGAAACTAAGTTACAAAAAGTTCTAATATATTAAGCACTATGTTTAACAAGCATTTTCAAAGGTTATTTCAAAATACTCATTTAAACAAAAAAATATAATAATAATAATAATGATAAGGGAATTTATACAAAGAAAAAGAAAAAAAACTAGTGTCACAAGTCTGGAGCTTACCAAGGTGTAGTGGGACCACTGGAGGTTTTAGCAAAATAAGAAAAACTTTAAAAAATAATAAATAAATGAATGAATAAAATCACCCAAAGCACTAGTGAGCAGTCACGCAGATGTGTAAGGAACCAACACCAGCCAGCACACAGCAAACGCCACCAGAGAACCACCGCCACCACCCTTGGCTCCAGCCTGGGCAAAAACAGGGCTTAGAAATAATTAACACTGCTAAAATATAAAAATAGTGCTCCAGAGTCCTCATGCGCCGGGGGAGAGGAGATCATCTCCACTCCAACCGGCATGCTAGGTGGAAAACATCTGGCGAAGGAGCACTACTAATTGTCCAATCCTCGGCTGCGCTCCAAGTGAGCGGCAGTCCAATCGCTCCAGGTAGGTCGCTCAGCTCCGTTGAACCGCTCCTCGGTTGTTTGGGTGTCACGGCAGTGACTCAAAACAATGTTTCACAAGCACCACAACACCTCGGGTCCTAAAAGGTCATAAACCTTCTTAACCCCAGAAAAGAATAGTCCTGACTGAGCGTGCAGGGAGGGGGGGCGTGCCGCACATACATGCCACGCCAACAGTAGGTCACACTAGAAGGTAGGCACGCTTCCCGTCCACCAGCACGCAGGTGAAGCTGCAAGTCTCTTATGGAGCTTCCGAATGTTGCCTCTGTCTGCATACAAGCCTGTATTAGGTGTCACTAATCTGCTTTTAATAGCTGATCAGAGTACTCGCCGCGATCCAACACGCGTCCAGCTTACGCTGCTACTGTCCAAAATGCAGCTACTTCCGTGAGCAATGAAAGAAACACTGACTGGGTCTGCTTTTTATGCCCACAGCTCCCCTACTGGTGACTGCCGGGGCCAGGTGTTCTTTATTATAATCAGGAGCAGGTTACCTCATCCTGCTACATTAAACACACCAGGTTTGAATCTGCTGGTGATTAACAGGCTGCTGCAGAGACTGATGAGCTGCTGAACAGGTGATTCATCCGGGAATCAGGTGTGTTGGAGCAGGTAAACAACTAAAACCTGCTCGATAGCGGCCCTTGAGGAACAGGATTGCCCACCCCTGCTTTAGATACAGAACATAAAGTAACATAAATAACATACTTTTATTTGCAATGCATGATTCTGTCCGTTTCATTTTTCTTTTCAAGGCTCCACTGCTGTGGTTTGAAGGTTGGGGAGTGTCCTTCACCTGTGGCGTCCCAACCGTTGGTGTGTGGGTCACCTGGGGATAACGACAAAAGGAGCTCTGTAGAGACTCCCGAGCATCTCCTTTCACCCCTACTCAGCCTCAGCAACAGCCCAGGTCTTCCTGACACCATGCTGGCTCAAAGGAGAACCACAACAATCAGTGACCAGCAAAGTCCCAACATGGAGAATGGGCTGAGCCATGACAAGAACTCAGGAGCCAAGACTGCTAGCATTCGTGATAAGATCTCACAATGGGAGGGCAAAAAGGAGCCTGGGACAAGTCCACTTAGTGCGACACAGAAAGAGGTGGAAACGGTGAGGAAAAAGGAGTCGAAAACATCAGAGCTCCAAAAGGCAGACAGCAGGAGGCTTGTCAGCTGGGAGAGACAGGACTCAGGGAAAGAGAATGTTGGAAAATTAGGGGATTTGAGCTCTAAATCATCAGAAGGTCCAACAAACAAAGCCAAGGAGGTCATAACTGAAAGGAGGTGTTGTACCTCCAAAGGAACAGAACCTCAAGACAAGAAAACAGTTTTGATTCATGTTAAGAAACTCGAGAGGGCGACAAAGGAAGTACCTGACAGACCCTCACTGGCATTCCCTGGGAATTTCTTCTGTCCTCCTTCAAAAGAGGAGCTGGAAGAAACAGAAAAGAAAGCTCATGAGCCGATTTTTGGGACTTTCGACAAGGCTCGACCTGCTAGGGTGCAGAGGAAAAGGCAGGGTGATTCAGAGAACGTGTACTGTGAGCCAGGAGCTCCCTCTATAAACCCTCTACCCAAACCTCAAAGAACGTTCCAGCATGCAACACCACCCACTTCATCATCCGCAGGGCCTTACTTTGGGAAGGCGAAAAGGAACCTGCCTCCTCTGCCCTCCATTCCTCCTCCACCTTTACCAACGTGCCCTCCCCCTGGAGTCTGCAGAAGACCTTGGAGTGACAAACCCCGGGACAGCCATAACAGGTAAGATTCTGCCTGGGAAACTCAAAACACCCGCTGAAGCTCCAAAATGAAGGAAGATGTGTTCTATCATATAAACTACCCAACATAAAATTAAGATTAAAAGGTCAGTTGTTGATGATTCGATGCAATTATGTCTAAAGTGGTTCCCGTACCACTTACCCAACAATGAGATCTGAGATAAATTGCAAATAAAACCACATTTTGTTTTTAAATGAGCAAAATTTGATTGGTACTTGTATTTGAAGATCGTGGACATCAACTCATTTCTCCTGACTAAATCTCTCTGAAATAACAGAAAAGCACAATTGTGTAACTAATGCAGTAGGGCCCTGTTTTTATTTATTTTTTTAAATGTTAGTGGTGACAGTAAAAATGGATGGTGCTAAACATTTAGCTGCATTTCATCCAACAGTTCAGTTTACACAGATTACATTTCTGCAAGCACATTCGCAGGATCGGAATCCAAAACATATAATCCAGCGTGAACATTTCACTTGTCGAGGTTTTCAAATCCCTGCGATTTCATATGGTTACAATCAAATCAACAGAGAGCTCTGCGGGGAAACCAAAAAGAAAAAAAAAAGTGAACATTGCAGAATTGGATCACAGCTTTTGTTACTGGTTCACTTTCTCCAGTGGCCTGAGTTCTTGTGTTTGAGCTTGGCTCAGATCCGTTACATTCCATACCATATGTGGAGGCCTCACTTTGCCCAGGCGCAGAGCGTCGCCGAGCCTTCAGTTTGGTCAGCCTGTCTGACTCTTGGGTGTCCAGGTGCAGAAAGGGATTTTTGACCCTAATGAGCAAATAGATGTTGGTGATTTCACCCATTACTGTGCTGCAGCTTTGCACTGATCATGGCTTTTCTAATGGTCGCTATGTAGATCTTAAGCAACCTGAGTTAACAGTTTTAATTCTGACCAGAGGGTAACAGCTAACCGCTTTTTAAACAAGATCAAAGTGGATTAGATACTTTCAGTCCAGAAGAAATAAGATCTTCTTGTCAGAAGTGATCCAGAGGTGCTACAGCTGGCTTCTACTGCTGTTATTAGTGTTTGAACTGTGTGTACATCACACCAATTTACCAAAAGCTTCAACAAAAATGTGTTTTCCTGTGGTATCGGTGTCTTTGTCCTGCTCTGTCTGCCAGGAAGTCCCATGAATTTGAAGATCTGCTACAGTCGTCAACAGAAAGCAGCCGGGTGGACTGGTATGCTCAGTCCAGACTGGGCCTAACACGCACTTTATCAGAAGAGAACGTCTATGAGGATATTTTAGGTAAATATCTCATTCATTTTTTAGCCATAAGTGTTTACACCCTGTCAGATTTACAGATGGTGGGCTAAATTTTCTTGTGGTCTTTGCTAAGAGAATGGGCAAATATGTAATTCTTTTCTGGATTTTCAAGTTCTTAAACACTTTTTCTAAAGATTAATTTCAACGGAGTAGCCGACTTGTTCTGTAGGATCTCAGCCGACCCCAGAGATGCTGCCGAGTAAGACCAAGCCTCATAAATGAGCAGGGTGTGCTAAAAGTACAGTGAGAACCTAAGTAGGAGATAATGACTTTAATTACAGTGATGAAAACGTGAATTGTGACTGACACTATCTCTGTTGCTATGATTATTCAGGTGAGAGGGATCTGAGAAAGTAGAGCAGTGCATCAGTGTGAGTCCAGCAGCAGAGTATCTGCTCAGTTTTTCTGCTCCAGATTTAATTTAAAGCCATGCTGCTTCTCCTTTATTAAAAACTGCACATAGAAACCTGAACTCTGCTCCTCTCTTATTGTCTGTAGTGTTGTGCCAACCCCACCTAGAGCCGGTTCGGCTTTATGATGCACAATAGCTGCTTTGTGTGGGGTTGTGTTGCAGCTGAGGTCAGTTCATTGGCCTGGAGTCATTTATTACTGGCTGTTGCTTTGTTTTGGTTTCACTCAAATGACTGGCATCAAATCAGAGATACTTGTTGGCCACAATCAATGAACTGTATTTAAGAAATGCCACTGCTTATTTTAGAGCTGTTTATAGTTTCCTGCTTTTATACAGCGGTATTGTTCGTTTAAACATGCAGACATTGTCCACCAGGATCCCGGGGGTAGAATCCCCCGGGTGTCTATTCCAGAACGCGCAGGACGCAGAGATCTGAAAGTGTTTCCCAAAAGAGAAAGACAAGTCAGAAAAAATATTTAAAGAGCAAGTCACCCCAAATCTACTTTTTTTTGGCTGATAAACGTGTCTAATGGTGCTGTAGACACATGTAGTCAATAATTTGGCACTTTTGTACATCTTAGTTAAATATTTGAATATTCTGCCTAAAACTGTCTGTGTTGCGCCCTCTTCAGGTAAAAACTCTGCACTGCATTTGAATTTTAATCTGCCATCGCTGTTGGCTAGAGCCTGGGGCCCACTGCAGGCGGACGCGTTGCGTCGCTCCCGCGGTTTTGAGAAGTCAAGTTTTCACACAGGACACACCGTGCTGCTGAGCGCTTCTTGGAAAGTCACACGATAGTCACAACATCACACGGGACTTAAGAACAGGAAGCGGGAAGTGACTCTATTCTTTATATGTGATCAGACTTACCGTCATGTTTTGTGAGACTAACTCATTAAAAATGGGTAAGTACACTATTTATTAGATATTTAAAAACTGATAGTACTTTAAAGTTATCAAAACTGCGGCTGGGTTTGTGCCGTAAAGCCGTTCCGTGTGGTGATGTCTGTTCTAAAGTACTTCACATGGTTGTAAAAAGCAGTGGTGTGACGCTTTAGACACAACCGGCGCCTATCTTCAGCACCTCGGCGTGGCACTTCTGGGACACGGCATGTCTGTCTCCGGTGTGCCCTAGGCTTAAGAGGTACTTCATGATGTTTGCTGGTACATTATGATGTCACGATGCTGTTGCAAGCCTATGTGTGTGTATTTGTTGACGGCCCCGCCCTCTTGGTCTGCCAGATAGCAGCATTTGTTGCGTTTTTCAAGCAGGAAGTGGGAGTGGAGTAGGACTCTGATAGGGGGTGACTTGCTCTTTAAGGAGGAAAATGCTTTTTACAGAGCTGTACATGTGCTTTATAATGACCTCCATACCTGTCAGCATAATCGGGCTGAGAAGAAGACGTGCTCATGTCTGAACTGCTGGGAAGACTCACTGCAGAGATCAGTGTGCCATTCGTAACAGCCAGAAATGTGGAAAACAGAGCACTCACTCACCCCGAGACTGTGCGTCTCTCTCTGTCTGCTCGTTCAGGTCACATCTGCAGAAAGGATTGATAACGCAGAGACACACACAGAATATAGCTTACTTTGTATTTGCAGAAGAGGCCTTGCACCTACTTTAGTCTTAGCTATGCAAACATCTATTAAAATGTGAGTAAGCGCATATAGCTGTCTGCACATCTAGAGCAGGAAATACGTGATTGAGATGGAAAAATCTGATCTCTGGAAAGGGAAAGTTTTCATGTTTGTGTGCAATAATGTCATTAATGTTCCCAAGATCCGTCATCCAAGGAGAATCCTTATGAAGACATTGAGCTGGAGCAAAGCTATTTGGGAAGCAAGGGTGTCTCACCTGTTTCTTCCTCATCTATTCCTGATATGCCAACAAAGGTACCCAGTCACCATGACGCTGCAGTTAAACTAGTACAACAGAACTGATTCTGCAAAAAAAAAAAAAAAAAAAAAAAAAACCTTTCCTCGTACCAGATTATCTCCAGGCCGGGCTTTCTGAGACAAAGCTCAGAGCGGCGGAGCTTTAAAGTCCCAGAGCTACGAAAGACTACCCGAGACACTGGCATCTCCTCCCCCTCCCGTATCAGCCCGCCCTCAACACCCAGCAGCCCTGACGACACCCCAAGTCTTTCCGGAGACCCCTATAACCGCAGGCGGAGGAAGATCCCCAAGGTATGAACCGCTGCCTGCTGTTCGGAGTCGGTAGGGATGCTTCTGTCAGGGAACATTTCTGAGATGTTCCCTGAGTGTTGAAGTGTGTGAAGAGACCAAATAAGCCTTGTTTTTTAACAGGTGGTGCTTAAAATCAATGGCATCTTCGAGGCACGCAGAGGAAAGAAACACACGAAGAAGGTTTCTCAGTCTGCTGAGTCCAGTTCAGGAAGAGGTGTGATGGCAGGAGACAAACACAACTCATTTTTAGCTCATGAAATCTGCTGTCAGGCTCACTTCTGATGTTTATTTATTCATCAAAATGTTCTGTTCTTTAAACAAAACTGTGCAATTCCAGTTGTACTTTAAACTAAACAAAAAGACGCCAACAGAGAGAACAGCATAACTGAATATTAAACCAAGCTAGATTAAATAAATAAAGCCGTTTCGAATATTAGAGCTGACACATTTTTTTTTGTTTCCTGATTATTTTTTTAATTGATTCTTAAAACAAAAACAAAACAAAATGAAATCAAAACAGTGAGAACATTTATCTTTCTTACAAATTCACCCGTGACTAAAACTACATCTGTCCCTGCTTGCAGAATTGCGTGAAAGTTGAGCAGATCTCTAGCTCGTGTCTATAGATGGTTCTCTGGGTTGCTGATCTATCTTTTCACCCAGTGTTCTGTTTCTATAATCCTGACAGATGAGAACAGCGAGTCAGAAAGTGACACAGAAGAGAAACTAAAAGGTAAGAAAAACCCCAAAATGTGCACGTGTATAGGCTAGTGCACGTTGAGCTTTAAAGTGAGAACAGGGGCAGCATGTGTGCAAAACAAAATACAAGTGTGTATTTTTATTTCTGCTCTTCTTCTGCCGTGCCATCCTGGACTTGTACACACTCGTCTGTCAGCTCACAGCCAGCGGCTGGTATCGGTCCAGTCCATGCTCAGACAGACTGAGAGGTACTGGACCCTGGAGAGGGATCTGATGGAGTTACAGGAGAGGAAACTCTTTGAGTATTTTATAGTTGTTGCACTGCACAAGACCAAAGCTGGAGTCCCTTACTTGCCAGAAGTCACTCAGCAGTTTCCTCTTAAGGTAAATAAATAAATAAATGCAGCTAACACAGAGAAGAAACATCATATGTACAGTGTAAAACTTTTTCCATTGCTTCATCTCAACTGGTTGCCGTTTTCTGAACTCAGTGATTCTGCAATTTGATTTAAAGGGGCATTATGGAAGTTTGACGGCCAAAACATGAATAGAAATAATACATTTCTTCTTCATACATTCTCCTGCAATGCCCTGGTCCTGTAGAATGAGCCCTGGCATTTTTACTCTGATTGCATGTTTTTCTGTAAAATCACAGAAAAAGAGAGCTGCTCGGGTCGAGCAGGCTGCTTCATGCGCGTTCACGCTCAGACATAGCCCTCCGAACTGTTCTTTGAACGTTGTTTCGTGCAGAAGACCCGGGTTTGGTTCTGGATCTGAACATAATTATTTAGAGTTTCTTTTTTACATTAATGGTATATTTTTTTACAGTAATAAGATGCCCAAATTTTTATTTGAGACTCGCCGAACGGCATTGAATTCACAGATAAAAAAGATGTGGGTTCAACTTTCATTTTGGAACAATTTTTCAAGCAAGGGAAGGGAATGATCTGAGCATGCAGGAGGACTGACCCATCATAAACCTTTGTCGGCTGTGCTGAAGAGAAAGGTACAGAACCAAATTATTTAATTAATTAGCTGAGTGTTCTCCTGTCCTCTGTCCTCCGGGCCACACACACACACACACACACAGCACGTTCGGCCGGCCGGCCGACGAGAAAGTGCAGCTGCAGAGACAGAGGCACATTATTTTTATTAATTTGCTGTGTTCTTCTGTCCTCCGGGCCACACACACACACACACACACACACACACACACACACACACACACACACACACACACACACACACACACACACGGCACTGTCTCAGCTGTTATTTTCGTTAAGGAGTGTGCACGTACAGCATGCGCGCCTCGTGCACGAGCCTACTATTGAAGCTGCCGTTACGCTTTTGGCCTGAGGGGGCAATCGCGAGCATAAAAATTCAAATCTCCATAAAGTCCCTTTAAATACTTTAATTTGTCATAAAATGCGGATCTAAATCTAACATTTAGAATAAACTATTTACATTTGGTTTCTATGTCGTCTAGCTGGAGAGGAGTTTTAAGTTCATGCGGGAGACCGAGGACCAGCTGAAAGTTATCCCTCAGTTCTGTTTCCCTGACGCCAGAGACTGGGCTCCTGTCGACAACTTCCCCAGGTCAGTCTGAGTGAGGCGCTGGAATTTCATAGTCGAGTGGTAAAAGCTCAGCTGTTTCTATGTTGAATGCCCAGCTGGCAGCCAAATGAAATGACCTCACAGCTTGTCAACATAGCTGCTCTTTCTTTAATTACAAGGTGCAAAGGGACAAATTCACCCTGTAACACCTGGGGTTTCAGAGGTCACCTCTTTGTTTAACACTGTGTTATCCATCACCCTTCTTTTGTTCTGAGGAATGAGAATGATCTCAACACTGTAGTTAATAATTACCAGAGTGTCTGACGGGCGAGAGGCTCCTAAGCATACAGTACATCTGCTTCAAGCAGAAGGTCAATAAGTGTTTTTTTTATGAAAAACCTGTCAGGTGGAGTTTAGGGGGTTCTCCATCAGCACTTGAGTTTAGATCTTTCCTGAGGGTTTGTTCTGTCAGGTTCAAAGACACGATTTGGTTGGGAAAATCTGGCCACTTAAGAAAAAACTTTAGTATTAGTCCGTGTGGGTTAGGGTTAGAAGGTCGTACCTCGTTCTAAAGAAATCCAAGAACCACAGAACACAGACCAGCATCCAGTGAATGACAGGTTGTACTTGGCTCAGGTTCACGTTAAGGTCAGAGGTCATCAAGAAAAAGCATTTTGCCAATCAAGAAATCCAAGGCCAAATCCTCTGCTGACATATTGTAACACATCTCATATTCACCAATAAGCACTTTGATGGTCCTTAAGACAAGAGTAGAACCTTCTGGAAGGTGTGTGTCTGGCCCTTATAGAGGCCAGTCGTCCTGAACTCCACAGCGATGTGAAACAGTCGTTATCAGCTACCACAAATGCTTGATTGCAGTTCAAGGTTGTTACAGCAAGATCTGGTTGATCATTTTTGCTCTTTATTTTAACTTCCTCAGTGAGACGTTTTCGTTTGTGTTGACGGGCGAAGATGGAAGCAGACGGTTTGGTTACTGTCGTCGTTTACTGGTATGTTTAAAAGCCTCTGCTCCTTTGTCTCAGTTTTTATGTATCAAACATCCTTCTCAAATATTGTTGCAAAGTGATAGAAAATGGTTGTTTTTTTTAGCTCAGTGGTAAAGGTAGAAGACTCCCTGAGGTCTACTGCATTGTCAGCCGCCTGGGATGCTTCGACCTCTTCTCAAAGGTAGGCATGGTGATTTCAGCTAATCAAACCCTGTGTTTAAATCAAATTTCTTCATGTTGCATTTTCACGTCACAAAATCTCACATGTGACTCCACCTCGCTCCCTTCAACTGAAACAAAGGTACCACCCTTGGTGCCCACAGAACCACACCCGCCTCCAGCCCTGCAGACTTTTGCACAGAATCTTCTACTCATGGCTGCAGCACTGCAACACACATGTCATGCAGCTGGCTTAGAAGCTCCTGTGGAAACGGTTCTCTGTAATAATCCATATACTTATACACAATCCTGTTCACCCCGCACATGCCACTGATAGAGCTGGATTTGTCATTGTTAATAAAAGTAGGAATCCATGAAGTTATTATAACTCAGCCTGTTTTACGGCTACTGAGCTCACATGTGATGTCATAATAGTCATCTCCAACATGTACAGTGCTAAGTCGCTGCGTGATAACATGTTGCCTCTTTCTGTCTGTCAGTAAATGTACGGAGCTCATTTTATGATGTGATAGCTGCTCGGATTCATTCACAGCACATACTTTGTGTGTTAACAGATGCTATAAGTCCTGATATATATGTATATATATATATATGTGTGTGTGTGTGTGTGTGTGTGTGTGTGTGTGTGTGTGTGTATATATATCCTTTAGTTGTGTCATTTTTAAAAATTATTCTAACTACATATCAGTGAGCAGCTATTTACTACATCAAGTTATAGCCAGTGGCGGCACCAGAAATGTCTGTCTGCAGGTGCTATAAGGAGCTAGTCTTTTTATTGAGGGTGCTTTGAAGAAAGTGGTCATGCGTACCTATTGTTCTCTAAAACACCTTCAACACTAGCAGATACACATGCGTGCACAAAACCTCAACAACACCTGAAACAATCATTAATATACATCATAAACATTTGAACAATCACTGACTTTTCCATGAAATCATAAACACATGCAGCCACACAGAAAACCATCTATAGTGCTGCAAGGTTAGCTAACGTTAATGTTAGCATTTCCAGCGGCAAAAGCCTCGACTCCTGCGGTGGATGAAGGTTGACTCTCTTCATCCAGATCCGTAGGTTTTTGTGGGTCTGAGATCACTTCCAAACATTCATTTCTGACTGAACCCGTGGAAATGTGGGCAACAAAAACCGATCCATTTTACCGCTAGCTCTACCTTTCACTCGTTCGCAGGTGGAAAATGAGGTCAAAGGTTAACATCAATTTACTGTTTTGGTTTTTACTATCTATATGATAATTTACTGATTATTTTGTTTTGTATGTTGGTTACGTCCCCGACATGTGATGTTAAAGTGTGAAGGATGGGGAGAACATAAGAACTGGCGGCGGAGTTTAAAATGGGTTTATTTGTTCGAAAAGGTATTAAAACACGAGCAAAACTGATTTCTCAAAAAGGTTGACATTACAAAGCACATTATCAACTAAAAAATACCTGGTAAAAACTTATCTTAAAAGCTTTACCACAACGGAAGGTGTTTAAAAATGAGGTCAGTAAAATAGCCACAGACAAATGTTAACCTTAAAACCCAAACACACAAAAGATCCCACTGGATCGTTCACAATTTCTCCTTAAGAGTTAAAAACTACAAAAGTTCCAAAACTCAAACCAATCCAAACGAACAGGGGTTAAAACTACACAAAACCAGGAGGACAGCAGAACCCCTGCACTGCTGCCTCCCAGACTGCTGAAGGCACAGCCTTTTTATACAGGTGATGGCAATCAATGAAGATTCCTTGCAGCTGTGCTCCTCAGCAGCCCGGGAGAGAGGAGGAGGAGGGGCAGTGTCAGGCTGATTCAACAGAGCTGGGTGATTCTGGCTGCTTCTCTCCACTGGTCAGCCTGGCATCCGTAACAATGTTAAATATTATCACATCCACACGTTAAATTAAAATTAAATTGTAAATAAAAAAAATCTAATATTTGCTTGGGGGTCCAATGACTATTCCAGGGGCTATAGCGCCACCTAGCACCCCCCCGGCGCCACCACTGGTTACAGCTAACCCTAACCCCAACCAACCAAAGCATTAAAGAAACAGAGGAGACATTTGCTACCTAAAGCCTGAAAATCAGAATCAAGACAAAACAAAAGCCGTGGACCAAACTGAACAGATTTGGGTCTGAATGAAAAGCTGACTGTTGTTAAAACGTCTCATTTTGACAACACAGAAGCAGTCTTCACTTTAGTGCTTTGCAGTGACACATATGATCCACTCGAAGACATTTGTAAACTCCACATGTTTTTAGAGATAAATAAAGAAAAGGCTACAAAGGTTTGTCCCTTTTTGTAAATTTTCTTTCCAATGGAGTGGAAGTGTGCGCTATGTAAAGCTGGGGTTTTCAGTTCCAGGCCTGGAGGGCATCCTGCATGTTTTAAGCCTAATTTATACTTCTCCATCTGCGTCGGAACTTAGACGAGCAACGCCATTATCCGTCCTTGTGAGGGCTCTCCAGCAGGCTCGCAAGGACGGATGGAGTCGAACATTCTTTTCTAAACATCCGTCCAACGAGACGGCGAACTCAAGCTTGTGACTGATCAGGACGCAGCTGTCGTTGACAGCACCACCATTGCACCCTCATAGAAGATATCTAGCAGCGGCATGGAGCAGCTTGAATAATACCTCGCGGAAAAACTAAACAACTATGAAAATTGTATTCACCCGTGACTGGAAGAGTGAAACGATACGTAGCAAGTGTTTTGTTGGTGGACGGAAATGACGGGAAACGTGGGTTTAGAGGTGGCGAGCGCATGAAGAGGTGGAGAATGAGAGACACATTTGTCCGTGTTAAAAAGTCTCTGAAATACAAAAAAAAAAAAAAAACATACTATAAACAAAATATAAACACTCTATCTTGAACCGGATACATGACAGGATACCCCAGAACAGCCCTATGCCTTCTGTTGTCCTGGTGGGGAATTGCTTTGCAACACTCCCCAGGAGACGGAGGAGTCCAGCCCTGATGTAAAGCATGTGACCACAAACTGATCAGAAAATCACATGAAAAATAAATCAAACTATCTGTAATCGGCAGATACTGGATGAAGTGGAGAAGAGGAGAGCTATCTCTCCGGCTCTTGTGCAGCCATTTATGAGAGGCATCATGGAGGCTCCATTCCCTGCTCCAGGAAGGACCATCACTGTCAAGAACTTCCTACCTGGCTCCGGGACAGAGGTGGACTTTCCAAACTCCTGTTCGACATTTTTAACGTGATAGCAGTGTGTAATCTCTCTTGATGTATGTGTGTGTGTGCTCTGTGTGCACATGTTTGTTGTGTGTTTGTATGTTTCCAACAGGTGATTGAGCTGTGTCGACCATCAGATTCTCGTCTCGAACACGTAGACTTTGAGTGTTTATTCTCTTCGTTAAACCTCCGTCTGCTCCTGCGGGTTTTTGCCTCTCTGCTTCTGGAGCGCAGGGTCATATTCACCGCGGACAAGCTCAGGTTGGTTCCAGTAACTTATCAAACAAACGTCATTCCATTTAACGATCACAAAAGATCACATTTTCATTCTTTGTGATGAAGATCAGTTTCAAGGACAGTTAAATGATTGAATACATCTTAGCTGATGAAGACCTCAAGATGACAGGCAGTCAAGGAGAAGAAGCGAGTGTGAGAGGAAGGAATGTTGTTGTGTTGGACTGTTGCTCTGGAAACAATCGGCTCTTCTGGAAAACGGTCATGGATGCCAGTTGGATTGAAATGCAACTCCACAGTTAGTGTGTGTGTGTGTGTGTGTGTGTGCGTGCGTGCGTGCGTGTGTGTGTGTGTGTGTGTGTGTGTGTGTGTGTGTGTGTGTGATCCAAGAGTTTTCCTCACAGAAAACCTGGCCTGAGGCTTGCTCTTAAATGTGGGTTTAGTCCATAGACTGTACATACATGTCACTCAGTGAGATTCATTAAAATTAAAAACTGTTTAAGTGGGTTGTGTCAATTTTTGCATTTTGCACTCATTAAATTTCATTAAAATATTTCACCAACCTAATGTCAACTAAATGACTAAATAACAGTTTCACAGGATTGTTTTGTTTGATCAGATGAATCTTTTTTGTACCGATGGGTTAGGGTTAGGTTAGGGCAATAGAACGGAATCCCCCTGCTGCCCGATGGCTCAGCAGAGTTTGGTATGGAAACCAGCACGCTCATCAGGACCAGTCTTGAGCACCTGGTATCTGGCTTTATAGGAATGTTCAGGTGGTTGAGGCGAGAGGCCGATGAGTTGAGATATGCTGTGTAAGGTACAATGAGACAGGTCTCATGGATGCATGTGCCCAGTTGGGTTGGTTAAGACAAATGAGTGGGGCCAGGTTATGGGTTTGGGTCAGGGCCAGGGAACAAGATAAAAGAATGGAGCCAGGGTCTTAGTGTTAGGATAAAGGGGTGGGGCTAGATTTTTCAGGTCATTAGATGGTTAGGGTTAGAACCCTCTGTCCAGTGGTTCTGAAACCTAAGCCTTTTTTTTTCAGCACGTTGTCTCAGTGTTGCCATGCAGTCGTGGCTCTGCTGTATCCCTTCACCTGGCAGCACACGTACATCCCCGTCCTCCCTCCCTCCATGCTGGACATCGTCTGCACACCAACTCCATTTATAGTGGGCCTCCTGTCCAGCTCTTTACCTCGACTCAAAGAGCTGCCCATAGAAGAAGTAAGACGAGACGTCTTTCATCCTTTTGTTTCCTGAAAGGCAGCCTGTGGTGCCCACAACTCAGGACCTTTCCTCTTCCTAACAATGGCTCCAGGAAATGACATCTCTGTGTGTTTGTCTCCACTCAGGTCCTGGTGGTGGACCTCGGCAGCAACCGCTTCCTACGTCAGGTAGTAACCATAGAAACCCATAGACGCCAGAGTTATCGTAAACAGAAGTTCCACGTGTAATTGGCTGCTCTTAAATCTCATTTTCTTTACTTACAGCTGGATGATGAAGACTCCATTCTTCCTCACAAGCTGCAGGCAGCTCTTGAGCAGGTGCTGGAGAAGAGGAGGGAGCTGGCCTGTGAGAAAGGAGACCTGCCCAATGGTAAATCATCATAACAACCTTTTTAAATGTGTTTATGGGTTCCTTGGACCTTCATTTAGGTGAAAGGTGTAGTAGACTTGTGGGCTATGTTAGGAAATTTGAAAATGTTAAGCATTTGAATTTATTATTAGTTACTGGTTATACCTAATTAGAGAGGCAATAAAGTACCCATGGCTGAAATGTGAAGGAACAACATTTTTCCTAAATACAATTTTTAAACTGATCTGTTGATTGGAGAAAATATTTGTTGTTTGCATTCTTGAATTTTCCTTTTCCCTCTCTCAGATTCCAGCTCCTTGAGCACCGTAGTTTCGGAGGCATTTGTGCGTTTCTTTGTGGAGATGGTGGGTCACTACTCTCTGTTCATGGTAGGAGCGGACCGGGATGACGAGTCCCTCTCCTCACCCACCTTACCAAGCCCTTCCACCTCTTCCACGTCCTCATCCTTTCAGCGGGAGGCCTTTCGTAAAGCCGTCACTTCCAAAAGCTTGAAGAGGTTTCTGGAGGTGTTCATGGAGACGCAGATGTTTACCAGCTTCATCCAAGAGAGAGGGCAGCGCCGACAAGGCCTCAAGGGTATGACAAGTTAATCGGTGCTGAAAGCTATTAGCCCGGCAAGACTATATGTGTGAAAATGTGGTTTGGCCACAATCCATAGACTGAGCCCTAATCGTGGGGCAGAATCTACGGTTGTCTTTCAAATTGTCCTGTCGTGCTATTGGACAATGAACAACACACTCACTGCTATGGATGTCAGTCAACGGGGCAATCTGCCATACCGTGTTGAAGAAGATGCAAATACGACCTTTTCTTAAAGCTTCTTTCCGGAGTCTTTCTCTTATCCGATGGCACCATCAAGCGGCTGACCAGCATATCACACTCCTTCCATTTTTTTAACATGGCGACGTCACGTTTCTGTTTATATTTGTGCTTCTGTAGCCGACAAACAGCTAAAACACGTTGTTTTACGAGTATTATTCTCATGTCATGTTGTGTTCTCATATATTTATATTTTAGAGACTTACTTGTACGTGAAAAGTTCATGAACTCTGCATCAGCCGAGGTATTCCTTAAATTTGAAGCATCTAAGCGGTAGTCTAACGCTATTGGTTAGTTCTGGTCGGCGCTGAGTTTCCTATTGCACGGAGCTCTGCGGGGCAGGGGGTGTGCATAGCAAAAACAAAAAAAAAAAGATGTATTGATTACATTATATCACATTACATGATAAAATAATCACTTTTAGGGATTTCTGACAAATCATACATGATTTCTGAATGGGGAAAACTCCGGAAGGATACTTCAATAAGTAAACTTAAGTACCCCATCTGCTCTTGATTCAAAAGCTGGACGCTACTCAGCCTGAAACAGCTTTGTTCAGCCAGGTTTGGGTTAGCTCATCTGAGCATAGTTGTGTTTCCTTGCCAGCTTCATGTCAGAAAGTGGGTGTGCCCTTCATAGGCACGGGGGGGGGGGGGGGGGGGGGGTGTTACTCTGACAAAAATAGCATGAGGTGATCTGTAAATCAGGCAGGTGATCTGTATGCTACAGAGAAACTCAATTCAGCAGAAAAATGGTGGTGTTGTTGGAAATACTGCTCAGTTTTATGGCCTTTTTTCAGACTCTGAACCAGGAAATGGCTGCAGGCAGTGAAGCAGCAGATGGAAAGCTCCGGAGCCACCAGTGACTCTGCCCCTTAGCCAGTCTGCGGACACAGTCCCAATGCTAGCCAAACTCAGCTTTGCTAGGTTTCTCAATGGAGCAGGGGCATAGGAGAGAAAGTAGAGGAAAAAAACCAAACCATTCCCTTGAAAACTGGTCAGTCCGAATTACTCTGAGTCGTCTAAATGGTTCAAAGTTGATGCCAAAGCCATTTCAAATGAGTCGTCACCATCTTATGTTTCACGCAGTCGAAGTAACATCCCACCCACAAAACTGATAGTGATTGGCCCACCAAACTAATAGAGCTCTGTGATTGGCCCACCAGATCGATAGAGTTCTGTGATTGGCAAGGCACAGGACTGTTTGGGCCCAGTGGCGGCTCCAGAAATGTCTGTCTGCAGGTGCTATGAAGGAGCTAGTCGTTTTATTGAGGGTGCTCTGAAGAAAGTGGTCATGCGTACCTATTGTTCTCTAAAACACCTTCAACACTAGCAGATACACATGCGTGCACAAAACCTCAACAACACCTGAAACAATCATTAATATACATCATAAACATATGAACAATTGCTGACTTTTCCATGAAATCATAAACACATACAGCCACACAGAAAACCATCTATAGTGTTGCAAGGTTAGCTAACTTTAGTGTTAGCATTTCCAGCGGCAAAACCCTGGACTGCTGCGGCGGTTGAGGGTTGACTCTCTTCATCCAGATCCGTAGGTTTTTGTGGGTCTGAGATCACTTCCAAACATTCATTCGTTTCTGACTGAACCCGTGGAAATTTGGGCAACAAACACTGATCCATTTTACCGCCAGCTCTACCTTTCACTCATTCGCAGGTGGAAAATGGGGTCAAAGGTTAACATCAATTTACTGTTTTGGTTTAAGTTTTTACTATCTATATGATAATTTACTGATTATTTTGTTTTGTATGTTAAATATTATCACATCCACACGTTAAATTAAAATCCAATTGTAAAAAAATAAATCTAACATTTGCTTGGGGGTGCAATGACTAATCCAGGAGTAGCTATAGCGCCCCCTAGCGCCTCCCCGGCGCCGCCACTGTTTGGGCCTACTGAGGCTCTAGGGTGGCTAGACCGGTCTGTCTAGATTTCTATGCTAGAAAGCTCTGGGTTTTAAATTAAACAGCAAAAATCTTTGTTTCGCCTCTAATTTTAAATGAAGTCTGAAACTTTCTTGAGCAGATCTGTACAATAATCTGTTTATGTGACCAGAGAAATATTCAAACAGGTTTTTGTGACATAAAAATAAAACTATGAGGAAATACTTCAAAATCTCATTTTAACAATGACTTTGGTAACAGATATAATGGACACTCCGTATCAACCCTAACCCTTAGCATCAAGATGCTTTTTGGGCTAATGTGACAAAGTCTTTGTGTTCGTTTGGCTATCAGAGGATCTTAGATACTATTTTTGCACCTTCTTATTGTTGAAATATGAATTCTTCATCTTCAAGTTATCATCTAGGTACTGTTGTTTTTTTTTATTGGTTCTACAGGTCTGGTAGTAATCAGGCCTGGATGTGGTCATTGGAACTAAACTCGGCTTTAGCATAATGTGGTTAATCCCAGCTAACTCAGGATTTAACACGGAGGACAACTGCTATTTACATCTGTCTGAATCTGGTCTTGGTGCGTTGTTTGCTTTGCAGTGGAATTGTCCCAAATATGTAAGAGAAAAACAGCAGTAAGTTCTGAACTGGTGCGTCGTGGTTGTACTTGAATGTATTTATTGGTTTTTGTGTGCAGGTCTGTTTGAGGTGAGAGCACAAGAGTATCTGGACTCGCTTCCTGGGAGCGAGCACAGAGGTGTTAACAAGTTCCTCAAAGGCCTCGGTGAGGTTTACCACTCAGCCGCACGCAGTCAGCTGATTCAGTACATTTACATGAACATTTTATATCTTCTACTCATCTTAAATATACATTTATTGTTTGTTTTGTTGTCTTTTTGTTCTTTTTTTTTTCAGGAAACAAAATGAAGTTTCTTTCCAAAAAATAAGATGGAAAGCTGTGAAATCAGGACAAAGATCATGAACTCCGAGCACGTGGAGCATGTCTAGATGGAGATCTGTCATCTCCAAGAAAGACTTTTGAAATGAACTGGATTCATAGTTTGGAAAACTAGGGAATCTTGGGGTTTCCCTCCCAGCATGAGTGTTGCAAAGACCAACTCATCACAGGAAATATTGCAGAGACTCTGTTCCTACAGTGTATCACTGTAAAGCTCATCACAGTGTAAATATTTCTGCAGCCGCGGTCTCAGTCGCCTGTAAATCAGCACGAAGGAGAGAAAATCCAGCCTTTATGTTTCATTCCATTTATTTTCCTAAGAAGCTTTTATAAATGCAGCAGTACAACTTCTCTGGTCATGGGAGGCTTTTAAGTTAATTTATATTACATTTTAGACAAACTTTATCTCTTATTTTTTAAATTCTATACAATGATTTTATTCAGATGTTTTAAAAGAACTTCCTGTAGTTATTATTAGACTTTATTATAGAGATTAGTGCAGTGAACTTGGGTTACTGGGTTTTTGTACCACTATTGTAAACAACTGTACATTTTATTACAATGAGTCTTGGGATTTATAAGGAAATCAATGTGAAATGTATTCCCACTAGTGTCCAGAGATGATATGTGCGTAAAACGGAGGAATTATGTGCATCTTAGATCAGTCAGCCCTGTGATGTTATAAAAACAGCTTAGGATGTTTTACACTTGGCAAAAAAAACTATGAAATGTCATAAATAAAATGATTTGAATTAGAAAAATTATCATTTATTTGGTGATTACTGATTTTAGGACTTCACTGCTGCAGCAGCAGCAGGCAGTAATGTTGTTTCAGAGATCTGACAAAATAAAGTATTAGAAGGGCATCGTGAATATGATGATGATGGGGAAGGCTGTTGTTGTTGTAGCATCCAGGAAACAGCAGAGAACGTCTCAACTAGTAGAAGCTAACTGTTAGCATTAGCAACTCAACCACACAGCAGAACTTCTCTAGGTTTGTTATTTTTGGAGGTAAAACTTCAACAATGCAGAGCAAACAAAGCCAGTGGTAGAGTCGTGTTGCCGTTAGCCAATCAGAGGAGAGATGTTTAAATATCATGAAATAAGAATCTGAAGCTACCTTCTTCTCCAGCTGATTTATACTCCCTGAAACAGGCGCACCGTGGCTTTCTTCTCCCAGAGTATGACTTGGTTCCTCTCGGTGTTGGGGCAACACAAACTGTTGTTGCTGTAGTTTCATCAGACTATCAATATTTTAATCAAATGAATAAAAGAAATAACTGAAAGTTCTTAGGTCACGTGTTTGCTTGTAGTAAAGTTTCTGTCACAAATAAAATAATGTGCAATATGGTAAAATTCCAGCAGGGGGAGCTGTTATCATGCTTAAGCTTCACTGTCCTTGCCGCTTCTCAGAGTCCTAAGTTCACCTCTGGGATAATTGCGACTATGAGTCTTTAATATCTTGTGCAACAGGCCCAAGTCCCAAAATAATGTTGCTTTTTCTGCTTCTATGAGGATAATCTAATGAGTCTCAGCATTAGGTTCATTAATGCTTCCGGCCAATTAAGAGAAATATTAATCCCATAGCTTTCATATGCTCACGTTGTTCACCGTTCCTTTGTTCAACAAGACTGACTAAAACCTTCCCAAGTTTTAAACTTCTGCACACAAACTTACTGATTTTATATTCAACATGTCAGTGGGTAAGTATGTGACAAACATGATAATAATAATAATAATAATAATAATAATAATAATAATAATAATAATAATTATTATTATTATTATTATTATTATAAGGGTTGTAATAAAAACAGATTTCAGGCTCCAAACTGACATTTTTCATGATGTGTTATAATTTTATTTTTAGTATAATGGAGAAATTTTTCTCTGAACATAAAGAGAATTAGTTTTAGTACAGACTCATGTCAGCACATTATTAGTTATAATAAAGGCTCTTGTTTATGTTTTTCCACTACCAATAAGATTTCCTTTATTTTATTATTCTTGACAGGGGTTTTCTCTGCTTCCAGTTTTACTTTCCTAACTGGAGCCTTCCTCCTCCTCCTCCTCCTGCTGATTACGTGTTGACCGATCAGACCTCCCTCCCTCCCTCTCCTCCCTGCCTTGCTCTTTTTCTCTGGCTTTTTCCAGGCTTCATGTCATACCACGGCTAATTCCTGACATTCCTGCCTTCCTCTCGCTTCAAACAAGCAGCTCCAGGAAGGAGACGAGGCAGCACAAAACAAGCAAAGAAGAAGAAGCGAAAAAAGCTCACGGAGTTACTTTTTAATTAAGAAATAATAATAAATATTAACTCTGATATTGGTCCACTTGTGTGCAGCCTACCAGGACCTGGTGTTAGACTTTAATCAGGTAAGTTCTCCTGAAGACTCCAGGGCAGATTATTATTAATATTATAATAATAATAATTATTATTATTATTACTATGATTTGAGTTGTTGTGGAGGATTGTGTCTCTGACTCAAACCTCACATGTTGGTAACATACTTGGAATACTTCACATTTCTTTGCTTGAATACATTTTTGTCTTTATTTTAACCCGGAAGGAGCAGCTCAGACTTCCCAACACCAACAGCTGAGTGAGCAAACATTAACACCGTCCTGGAAACTTTCACTCTAACACTGACTATTGATTAACTGGGATTATTTCAGTGTTAATCTGCCTCCTTTCCTGCTTCAACAAGTGTGAGTGGACGTTTGCTAACATGAATTTCAGGGCTAGCTTTAGATTTAATTCATGTTTTCACTTTAATAACATGTAATTTATTGGATCTTGAAGCTGAAGATTTTGTCCTGATAAGTAAAAGTTTCATTAAAGTATCACTGATGCCCGGCTATTTAGCCGGGCATCAGTGATACTTAGCTGCATGTGTTATTTATTTTTTGTTCTTAAAATATAACTTTAAATGGTGTAAACGAAGCAGGTTTGTAAATATAGAATATTTTGACATAGAGAGTGCTTGTAATGATCCGAAATGGCCATTTTTCTGCATAATGATCCAGTCGGGAACTTTACTGATTATTTGGTTTAAATTTGGCCTGTGAATGCACCACTATGTATAGCAACAAAAAATCACAAATTTTCACGGGTCAGTGAACTCCCCATCACTTAAGGACACCACTAGCAGCAATAGACCTTTCATCTGCCCGTTTTTACTTCCATAATTACAAATTAAAATTAATCTGAACTGGAAAAAAGTATTATTTTAATTTTTAGCAAAAAATAGAATGGGCCAAAATCTGCATCAGCAGGTTAGATAAGTCAGGACTCAGAATCTATAACTTGACATGTAATTGTGCATTTGATAATTACTGGAACCTGCAGTTTGCACAAAATATTCTTTGAAATTTATAATCTGCAACAAATGCTGCAGAAAAGACCAGATTGTTTTAGTTTATTTTGCACAAGGCCTTTTAAACTGGTTTACGTGATTTAGATTAGCAAGGTTAGTTTGGGGGACGCATCTCACACCGTCTCTGGCTCCAGCTGTTGAACTGCATTAATAGGGTCAGAAGCGCACAGTTGAATGTGAATAATGTGTTTGAATATAAAAGCTGATCCGTGTGGACTTTATATGGCTGAAGGCGTTTGCTTGAAACCAGGCTGATATTCAAAAATTTTGGTGTTTCATCTGACAAAATATAACATGAGGAAAATGGACTTTACAATAACACTCTCTCAGCTTGCCTTAATGAACTTGCTCCCGTTATAAAAAAAAACATCTGTCTCTTTTAATCAGTCTGCCCCTTGGTAGTCCTGAACTACATAAACTAAAAAAACTACGCAGAAAATTGGAACGCCTCTACAGGAAAACCAGACTTTCAGTGCACAAACAAGCTCTTGCTGACCATACAGAACTGTACAGAACTAAACTCACCGTGGCCCGCACTTCATTTTACTCCAACACCATTGTCACTGGCGCTCTAAATCCCTGCAGACGTTTCTCCATGAATACTTTACTCAAACCACAGGACAATAACCTACAATTTTTCAGTAATTAAAAATGCAACATTTTCATGGAATTCTTCAAATCCAAAATTGACAATATCCACCAGGAGCTTTTTTCCACTGCTCTGTTTAATGCTGACCTTCCACCCGATCTTCCTCTGTCCATCCAAAATCAACTCTCTCTCTGATGACAGTTTTGGAACTCAACAAACAATTTTCCAAAATCCATCTCTCCACCTGCCCCTTGGATCCAATCCCACCCCCACTTGTAAAATCATGTCTTCCATATCTCACTCCACTTATCCTGGATATAATCAACTCATCAGTTACCTCTGGTACCGTCCCTTCGGCCTTCAAACTGGCTGCCATCAAACCAATATCTAAAACACCCGGACTGGACCACGACAATCCTCAAAATTTTCACCCTATCTCCAACCTTCCTCTAATTGCCAAAATCCTGGAACGTTCAGTGGCCTCTCAGCTATCTGAACATCTTCATTCAAATCAGCTTTTTGAGACTTTTCAATCTGGATTCCGCTCTCACCACATACAGAAACGGCTCTGATCAAAGTAACGAATGACCTCCTGGTGGCATCAAACTCTGGATCCCTCTCCATACTCCTCCTCCTTGATCTTGGTGCTGCCTTTGATACCATTGATCATTCCATCCTTCTACATCTTTTGCAATCTCATGTTGGTGTTACTGGTTCAGCCCTCTCCTGGTTCACATCTTACCTCTCCGACACATCCCAATTCTTCTCCTTAAACAACTGCAGATCTGATATCAACCCAGTAAGTTAGTAACCCATGTAATGATTTAAATTACGTGTTATTTAATAAACAATAAGGCGTAGGATTCCATAGTAAATATGAAATCAACCTTATGGATCTGAGAGGTTATTTAAACCAGAAGATTGAAACTTTTTATTGCAGGGATTAGATAGCAGCTTCGTGTTCACTCAGAGACAACAGAAGAGAGAGAGTCAAGTTTAAACGTTTAAAAATTTATTACTAAACAAATTAAACTAGACTAGCTTTAAACACCAAATGTATGGTGTAACTAGGGTGGATGAGACGGTGAATGGGGTGAGGTGTAATGTTGCTCAGAACCTGCAAATCCGAAGAAACGATTAGTTCTGATGGGAACTGAAGGCGATGTTTTCGCGTTAAGCTTTAGTTAGGAGATTCATAAACACATTTGACGTCATTTGTCAGTCTGCATACCCTGAGCGGAAGTCCCCGTCTAGATCAGGAGGTGTAAAGGTCCAGCTTGACCTCATGGAGCAGGAGCCGGTAGAAGCAGCCACGGCAGCCGACCACCCGTCTTGAGATACTTCCGGGTCACGACAATTTGTTGGCGTCTGGTGAGACCCGCCTGGGTCTTGATGGTTCAGCTTTTATTCTGAAAGGAACCGTTGCAGAAGTTGGAACAGCAACGAATTTTCCAGCTTGCCATTGGTTCTTTCGGTTGAAGAGGAGGGTTACGGACTGGCCACTCCAACAACTTCTCTAGAACGCTTTGAAGTGGTATTAGAAATAACGTGGCATAGCTTTATACTTCGGATGTTTTGGTTTATGGTCGAATGAAAAGTTGACAGACTTACCAAACACCACCAAAACCACGCCCCCGTCAGATCTGGCTGATTCTGATTGGATCAGTGAAAGCAATGTGTGATATCTTTTAACGCTACGTGAGATCAGTCCTATTGGAACATTTAAAGGGACTTTACGGAGTTTTGAATTTTTATGCTCGCTATTGCCCCCTCAGGCCAAAAGCGTAACGGCAGCTTC